CATTTATTTCGCGTGTGCTGTATAATTAGGACTCGAAGACTGGCCACACGGGAGAGCTTATTGTCCGTTTTTTCTCCTTCCCGATCTGTGGAAAACGAGTTTTGGAAATATATTACAGGGCGCCGTGTGGTCGGACGAATTCGAGAATTTGACCGTTCCTCGACGGCCGGTTGAGAGATACTTCTTCCGCGATTATTGGTCGTTAGGATAGATCGAGAGATAATCTTATCGGCGGAAGAGAGAGAAAGAGAGCACAAACAATAGGATTTTTAAGGAGGAAAATGTGTTTATCCTTCCGTTCACACGATTATCATTCCATTCAGTGCGATAGCCGCAGTAGCATTATTCACTGTCCTAACATGTTTAACAATAAAAGAGTTGAGCGATACATATATATATATAATACAAACGATAAACGAGATAAACGATAAGCGAGGGCTTTCGCTTATCCAAGATTTGGAAAAGGACTGTTGGGTTCTTACGACAGACATATGACTGTCGAGACTGAGTGATTTGAGTAAAACGGGAAGCTATTTAGGCTCTTTAAGGGTCACAAAAAGGCACAGTCAGATGGAAGCTACAAAGCGGCGTTTACGATCACAGACATCTGTAAATACAGAATTTCTTTATCAGATCCTCGAGAGGCGTTCTGTTAACTCGACCGACTACAATCTAAACCGATTATATATCTAAAAATCCTTATCATCCGCCCATTGTCCATGGCTAAGAGATAGCATGAGATTCGTGGCACGCTCGTGCTTACCGTGAACCGCGAAGTACGTCGCCGAAGAAGCAGCGCGCCGTGATTCCACCCCCAGGTGGTTCACCCCGTGCGACGCGTAAAGGCATCGCGCGCCCCGGGATTTTACGTAATTTTGGGTTTCGCCGGTATAATGGTATCGCGTTTCTTGGGACGCACCGTCGGATTGGCGCATTGTCAACGGCGGGGCCACCTAAGGCCCCCGAGGTGGGGTGGCAGTCTGGAATCCCTTTCATCCCTCTTTCTCCGCGCGTAGCACGCGCGCTTCGCTTCCATAGAGGAGTTTTTTTTTTACCAGAAAGACAAAAAACAAGGAACGCCGAGGCAAAAGCGGAAAAAGGGGGAGCTCGTTGGTCCTCCCTCTCCTCTCCTCCGTCCTCCTTCACCTTCTCTTGCCGTCCGCATCCCCTTTTAGGGACGCGTGGCGTGGCACACGTCGCCATTATTCTTCCACTTCGTCTTCGGTCAAACCGGGACCGACGCCGCGAGAGGAAATTTACGGTGCGCTCGTTGCGGTGCATTTCGGGAAATTCATCGCCGCACAGCGTCTGCCCTCCTAAGGGTTCGAAAGATCGCTCTCAGTCGCGCCAGAAAGCAATGATCTTTGAGTATATATCCGTTCGCGGCTTCTGAGAGCTACGTAAGATAACTTGTCCAAACACTTAGGGCCTATAAATGAACGTTTAAAGTCTGTAAGTGAACACTCGAGCACCAAACTCCAGTATTTGATCAGGCGAAGTCAGTTTCTGAGACACACTTTTTCTGATATAATCACATAATCTGTGAGCTACTTTTAGTTGCTTATTAGAACGAGGCACAAAGGACGTCTGTTTGAATGCCGTAGATGAGCTCCTTAGGATTCACCCTCCACAACAATTATTACTATTATTATTACTATTATAGTTACTCGAACTATGAAAAGTACGCCACATATTTTAATAAATATTGCAAATCATTCATTCATTGAGTGACGTTCAGTTACCGGACAAGTCACTCTGCCGACTCGCAATCAAAAGCGATTCGCATATCACTGATCATTTCGCGAAAATTTTCGCGAGAATGAGACGTACGAGTCCATTGTTGATGAACATTGTCGGGGAAACTGAATTGTATCGCGAGAGACCGAAATAATTTCGTGTAAGCGACTACATTTTGGCAGAAGCAGCGCAGAATGAAGTAAACAAAGTGTCGTCGCAGCGAAGTGCGAGCGCTACTCGCGAGTTTATGCAATCTTCGTGAAAGATAAACGGCGCTTTTTTATGCAGCGAAATTAAACGCACCATTACACCGCGAGGACGCGGCCACAATCAAATGTGTGAATGTTTACCTATTTGTAGCAGTACTCCAGGTAGAACGGTGCGTACAGATCCCGAGGGGAGACCGTTTTTCCGGATTCCGGTCCCAAAACAGCTCTCCGCGGCTCTCAATGCCGCCGCTGCTGCGCCCGTTCGCTTTGTCGCGTGCTGCCAGACTTCCTTGACGTGTTGGCACAGTTTTTGACAATGGAGCCAATGCCGTAGGAGTAGTAAACCTATACGCCTGCACCGTTGTGCAACGAAAAGCGACGATTCCCCTTGGTCCTTCGCTCTGAATTTAGTATCTGCTTACCTTTCGCTCGTTTTTCCTGCAAGAACTATGAGATTTTAGATAATAGTCGCGGTAATAGCGTTAGCGTCGCGAAGGAGGACGGTATAAAATTCATAGCACTCCGAATACATCCATGCATTAGTTCACAGATGTGTTAAGAATTAGTAAGATTTTTCAGGAGAAACATTTGAATGTTTAGATCATTGTATTAAGAAACACCATCCAAATTACATTTCATCTGCTTTTAAGAAAAAGCCTCTTAGGCCTAGTTGGACCAACATTATTTTGGCTTTAAGCAAAACTTAAACATATATCTATCTTTATCTTTCTTTTTAAATAAATGAAGACAAACATATTTAAGTCTCACTTAAAAATAACGTTGGTGCAACCGGGTCTTAGTGTGTTAGATATTAATCAATTAAAATTTTCACTGACTAAAATAATCAACGAATTGATAAACCAAATTAATCAGTCGTCGAATAATTTAATCGATAATTTAATTACGACGAATAACTTAGTTACATATTGATAAAATTATTAATAAATCATTATTAATCAATATAAAATCAATTATATCAAAGTTTGATTAATAATCAAATGTTAAGTGCGGCTTTGGGCATTAACCGATTAAAATTTTTATTAACTAAAATAATCGGCAAAGCAATAAGCAAAATTAATCAATCGTCACGAATATGATAATATAATCACGAATAAAGCAGTTGGCTGATGAAATTAATTATTATTATATATGTATTAATCAATGGTATTGATTAATAATCAATCACATTCCATTAATTACTTTTGGACAATGGTTATCAGATGTTTTCGTGAAGTAAACGTGTAGGTGCGCTGAAACAAGTGTTTGGTATTTGTGAAAAAACAATACGGCTGGCCCGCATATAAATCTAATTTTGTTAACCCGATTCAATAGTAAAATATAGAACATGCGATTATGCGATTGCTGCAACCACAGAGTAAGTGTTGTGCTGAAAAAAATTATTTTCATCAGTCGATGGAATTATTTGTGATTTTACATAGGACAATTGATTAATTTTATTATTGATTTATCTATTATTTTAATCAAGAGAAATTTTAATTGATTAATTCGCAACACATCCGTGTTGAAACTATTGCATCAACATTGCATTCATATTTCGAGGCTATCTCACGAGCGTTAAATAACATAATATACATATCAATGAAAATAAATGTAACAATTGAGAATACTTGAATTGAGAATACTTGAATGTTAAAAAGATTATTGCAACAATTGTAATAAGTAACATTATCTTGATGAGTCAAGATATGTTAATTTTTAATTAACATGATACATGAGTGATACAATTAATGTCATTTATTATAACAGCTATTTTATGAATCGCATAATTAGCTTAATTATGAATTGTAATTAGCTAAATGTGTGTGAATGCAGACATCGCGAATATTATTTTTATCGACAGAGGAAAAGGAAAATTAATTAAAACATGAGATAAGATCGGTATTGGGACTTGAAAGAGTGCTGGTCCATGAATTCGAACGATTCGGTCTGACTAGAACCGCTGCATCTGCCACGTGCCCCCATATTACGGCATAATGTGTCACTGTGCCACGGCTGTGCCACCCTTCTCTTCAGCCCTTCGGCGACGCCTTCATCCGACGCACACCGGCGCAATCGCGCGTACACATGGAATCCTAGATTTTGGAAACTCGCCGGCCTCGAATAGCACAGCTGAATGCAGGTCGCGCTAGTCCTCCATCGAAACACACGCCGGGAGGGTGGAGAGAGAGACGGTTTTTCAGCATTGCATTCACCTTCCCCCTCTCCCTCCCCCCGTGCCACCCTATCGGCCGCGACACTCTCTCCGCTCTTCGTTTCCTGATTCAACGAGCGAATCCACGATGCAACCTCGGATGAGTCGTAAAAATATCATTGCTTTTGTGGCGATACTTTATCCGCGTTTCAGTCGTTGCTCCTCCGGGGAATAACAGTGTCCACAATGATAATGTTTTATCGATGACTCCGACAAATCGCACCGTGGACGTCGATCAATGTTCCCAGATGAGGGAGCAAACAAATGTCGAAACGTGAGAAACATCGGAATATAAATTCTCTCTCGAAGTTACAGCTGGTTAAAGTCGATGCAATTTTTCAGAAAACAGGTGTATGTAAATTTAACAGCAACTTTACTAGTCGATCTATAAAGGTTGCATCCCTCATAGATGGTTAATATGTCATTCATATTTGTCATATAGAGTGCGATAAAATAGAAATACGAGAGAAAGAAAAGAATTATCAAAATTAGCTCCACGCATTTTGTTGCTGGTAAATGTAATACATTTGAAAATGTAATATGAAAATTTTAGTGTAACCTTTAGCAAATTAGTTACTGCATCAATACAACAAAAACTTTATATCATTATGTGATGTAAATTTAATAATTAATTAAACACGCAAATTTAATAATTAATTCAACACGCGGTTTGTTTTAAAAACATAATTAAAAAGATCATTTCCATCGCTTATTGTCTCTCACGTCTTTATAATCACGAAAGTCCATCTGTGTCCTTATGTTCCTGTAAATAAATACAACTTGGGTCGCTCATATGTGGACATATTGCGTGCAGGACGGGTCGCCGAATAAACAGACCAGAGAACGATGAAACAGTGAGTTTTAATAATAAAAATAGTTTCACAGACCAGTCAATCCGATAGAACATTTCAGATAACTGAATAATGCGTGATTGCAGAGATCGGGGCATGAAAATTACGAGTAAACACATACGATACAAAGGGCGCCTCCTCTCGCTTTCCCCTTTTTATTCACAATAGGAATTCGAAATTGGCAGCAATGTAGTAATTATTAATTACAATTATAATGTTACTCCCTAGACGCGAATTACTTACAAAACGGATCATATTATATTTGTACTAACGATATTTTCCTCCTCAAACGCATCCGTTACGCCTCGTTTTCTCCTTCCTCCGCCCTTTCTGCGTTTTACCCTCTCTTTAATAATAAGATTATTTAAGAATATTATTTATATATATATATTTATATATATATATATATATAAAATCAGTCTTGTGGTTGAGAGATATATTAGATGTCTGGTGAGGTAGTGTCAGTTTCATAGTATACATTCAGTGCCACTTGATTTGCGGTTCGCGTTTGTACGTCGCGCATAACGAGCGTCGAACGATGTTTACCCGCGACATAAAAGTTGGCTCTCGCGCGAATGAAGTAGCGACGAGATCGCGGCTGAGGATCCCAGAATGAAAACGCGCAATCCGTGAATCGTCAATTATACGAGCACCGGAGAGAGAGAGAGAGAGAGAGAGAGAGAGAGAGAGAGAGAGAGAGAGAGAGAGAGAGAGAGAAAGAAAGAAAGAGAGATAGAGAGACAAAGAGCACTCGCGATACTCCTACGCGTAATGTGGCAACCGAGCGCGTCAAGTGGCCAGATACACTTTTCCACTACGGCGTATCGAGATTATTATCATTACCTATTACTTCGTGAGACCGTGTTTCAATCGATTTCATCGTATTTAGGCGTAAGGTCTGAATTTGTACCGTGTCTCGTAAAACGCGCGCGAGAATTCGAGCAAGCGCAACGCGCAACGTCGGGACGCGCATCCCGTACAGAGGTCCGTTCCTTTCAGCTCGACTGGGCTGCACCTCTTGCTTTAATAGTCAAATAAATATGCGATCTAATATTGAGAGATGAGGAAAGGAACCACGTTCCAGCGCAGCGCCGAAGTTCAGCTAAGAAGAACAGGCCCGAGGAGGTTGGCACTCGGTGCGAGTGATCGCGTCGGCTCGCGTGTGCCCGAATTTGCGCGCGCCGCGCGATTTCGCTGTACAAAATTATAGAATATAACTTTAGTTACACGTAGATATACAAAGAAGTATACATAATGATAGGTACATAAGATTACTCCCGAGCATCCGAACGAACTGGGATCGCGGAGTACGGAGAGCCGCGGTTGAAAAGTCGCGATAAAACGCATACGATTACGATAGTAACCGTGCTGCCTTTGGTTCAGGCCCGCTTTGGTAATCTCGACAAATGTCGACTCACGTGGTCAAACTCCGCGCGATAACAGAATGAAGACGTCATTGAACATCTAAAAGTAAGATGTGAGGAAGGAGAGATTAAAATTTCTGGCATGGCTTAGTGAAAGAAAACGTTTGGCTTAGCCAAAGAAAATAATAGTTTCCTTTCTTTAGAATATCAAGATATTTTAAAATATCAAGACACAGTTGGCTTGCGAAAACATCTCGATACCGATTTACTGATTTAATCCTTCCCAAAAATTTAATCTTTCCGGTATCCCAACGATATAATCCTTTTCTATTTTGGTCCTGAACGTTGGGCTGTGTAAACATCTTGATTTGCTGATACTGAAATTTAATCTGACATCCCAACAATTTAATCCTTCCTTTTCTTGGTTCTGAACACACTGAATGTCCAAAATTAATCTGCTTTTTGTTCTCGCGTGCCACACCATATCTTCCGAGTCTTCCTGCTCGTTTCTTATATAGTCATATAGTTGCACATGTGTGTCACACATTATCTCTACGAGAGTGTGCACACATTCTTCTCTTCCTCACTTCTTTCTGTCTCTGCATTTTATATTTCGACGTACGCTGCTTCTCGTCCGTAACACGCGATCCCGTTTACGAGCACACATCGTATTGGTACAACGTTACGGCTATTTGACACAAATATATAATATGTATACATAGTTTTTGCACGTTAAGAGTAAGAGGACAACAACAATAATAATGATTACGACAGTAGGTAGGACAAGCGACAGCTCTATTCATTAACACGATAGGTACTTGACGCGTGGTTCTTCACCTCTGGTCAATATCTCTCGGTCGATATATCGGCCATTTCGTTAACATTGTAACTCTTCAGCCTGTCTAGCGAGGAAACGAAAGAAAGAAAAAGAACGAACAATTGCGGTCCGCAAGACCGATCACGGTAGGAACATAAGTTACAAGTGGCGTTCGGGCGTTCTACGACTATTACGACTATTAATTAGGAATCGATATCCTTCAAGGTACTCTTCTTGCATTCAACATCGCGCGGTCCACTCCGCGTACTTGCGCCAAGCGGAGAATCCGTCGGCCTGATCGCCGAGGATTGCCTCGGCATCCCGACGTCATGGATCACGCTCGACGTCGAACGTTAGGAACAAAAGTAGGACGCGGTTATCCGTTATTCGATTATGATTCCTGACGGATTATTACATACGCTTGCGGGTCGGGTTAAAATCGATCGCCGCGATTGGACCTCAACGAAGCCCAAAATTCAATATCACATGTACAGTCGGCCGATTAAGTACAGCCACGCTTTTCCTCGGTGAGTTCTGCAACGCATTCTGTATTCATTCAGTAAGGAAACGTACCTCCTGAGAATTACTAAAACACAAATTCTCTTATTGGATGCGTTACGAATGTCGCAGCATTTCTCATCGAGGAGAAGTTCTGCGATACTTAATCAGTCGACTGTGCAAACGCTGAACGAGTCGAAAGAACGTACGTACCGTGTTGCCATGAACGACATTACTCGAAATAATCGGTGGATCGTCGGTCATCGAAATGATAATAATGCCCGTATTCGTAGTCGCACCTTACATTTAAAGCCTCTTTAAGTTTATCTTCAAATATTCGACATCGTTTGTATCATTTACATTATTTTATTAGCTACAGGGTATTTGAAAATAAATTTAAGGAAGCTTTAGATATAAGGCCTGACTATGAATACGGATATATGAGTCGACGTGTGAGAACCCAAACAGCACAAAGTTCCCTAAAAGACTAGAAATTTATCCAGAATTTAACCTGATCAGATTAATCCCAGTCAGTTATTTCGGTTTGTATAAAGTGATGTTATCGGACCCTGGTAAGTCCTGTAACGCAACGTGAGCCTTATTAACCCTTAAATTGTGGGCCGTTTGTCAGCAAGACGATCTCTCTGTGCGGCGCGAAGCTGGCGCAGACGTCACGATGCCTCACTTCTGTACATAAGGTACGATCCATTAGATGTTGCACAAGTCTTGAAGCGTTTAAAGAAAAGCCACGGTTGGTCCACACGGCGCTTCAAAGCAACGTCTAATGGATCACACTCGTATTAGCGTTGAGCATCAGATGCTTTCATGCACTGTCCGCACGCAGTGAGAATTGATCGTTAGACACTTCAAGACGCTGTCCACAGACAGCGGAGACTTTCGGAGAGCGTACACATGCAGTGTAAGGGTTAATTTTTTCCGCAGTGTAAGGGTTAATAACGAGGGATTATTAATAATTTGGATCTTATTAATAATGAGGGCCTACTAACATCACTTTATACAAACCAAATGACTGATTGCGATCAAACTGATCAGGAGTATTGAATAAGGTTCTAGTCAGGATGTCTCAAAAAAACGTCCAAAAGACGTCCATGTTTTCTAGACATCTAAGACCTCTAAGAGGTCCGTTAGATTTGCACTGTTTGCACTGTCTGAGAACGTTTTCTCACCGAGTAGCAAGGACAGATCGGGGTCCGTGTATTTCGGTAAATGCAATTTCTGCGTCCACACGAACGCGACAACAAAATCTGACGATATTGTCAATTATTGATCATCGCGGAACCGAGTGGAACACAGAGACCATCCGCGATTTGCCTCTGTGCGAAGTCGACGGCGTAATACCGACGCCGACTCCTGATAAGATGTCGAACGTTTTCCCTATTCTCCTCTTTTTTTGGTTACATTATAACGAACCAGCAATTGTAATTTCTCGCGATTAGGCTGCGTGACGAGGGAAAGCTTTTGCTTGTGGTACACTTTGGACACAAAGGGCACGCTTCCGCGGCGCCATTCTCGATTAATCGCGACGCCTCTCTCTCTGTGATCAAGTCACTCTCTTCAAGCCCGACGTGTCTGTCCCGTCTGTACTGTCGCGCGAGATGAGCGGACCGGTTCTCGTCTTGCCGATTGTCGCGAACTGGCCACAAGCAAATTCGTTAAGCGCTCTCTGTCACGGCACCTCTCTGTACGCTCGTTCGCCTGTCATCGAGAGGCAAAGGGGAGGGGAAAGGGGAGGAGGGAAGGAGGGAAAAAAAGAAAACACAGAAAGAAGGCGCGCGACGCTCTCGCTAGTGAATTCGCTTCTCATGCGATCCTCTCTACCCAAAGGGCGGTTGATATACACTTCTCTCTCTTTTTTTTTTCTCTATGTACAATAAACTCGGGGATTCTGGATGAGATCTGTCTTTCTTTCGGGGTACGAGGTCGAGGCCTACTGACCTCTGTCGCAGTCTACCAGCCCAGTTGCAAACTGAATGGTGTCCCGACGGACGCATTCAGCGGAGGTGACAGTCAGTAACTCATCGACTTGTGTGATCCTCGAGTCGTACTCGAACAATCTAAGAGTGTGCACCGATCAAATTTGATCGTAACTTTACAGCCAGAAGATGAAAACAACAATTTGGAGCAAATTCCAAACTAGTAATCTTCCGAAAGTACACAACACAGTGTATCGATATACAGTGACTGATGTACTGACGACAAAATATAAAACTCTCTTATATATGTAGATTAGGTCAAATTGAACAAAAAGTTCTTCTATCATTTTGCGAACAAAATTTTGAGTTATCAATTCAAGAAAATTGGCGAATGATCACAGTGCAGAGTGTGGCGATAAGCGTGTGATTTGCGTTGTGATTTGTGTGATTGTACATTGGGTCAAATTACATTGAACAAAAAGTCCTCTACCATTTTGCAAATAATCGCATAGATTTTTTAGTTATTAATTAAGGAAAATTGGCGAATAATCACGGCTGATCGTTCGGCAAGCCTCTTTAATTAATAACTAAAAAATCTACGTGGTTATTTGCAAAATACCAAATTGTAGAGGACTTTTTTGTTCAGTTTAACCTAACCTGTTATACAAACACCTCCATTATTCGTCGCACAACGCATGATCTATACATACACATTTGCTAATCTTCTTTAATTGATAAGATTTTACATGGCCGTTAGCAAAATGGTAAAGGAATTTTTTGTTTAATTCGGCCTCTAATCTATACACACAAAAGTTTCATATATTATCGTCATGTCACCTGTATATATAATAATATTTAATCTCTTTCAAGTTTTTATTTTTTTTTTTGGCAAGCAAATCAAGAAGCATTGTCGAATTCGCAGTATCCGTGCAGAATTGTCGTCTCCGCTGCGTTGCGACCGACAAAACTAATATACAGGTGAACTAAAGCAACGGTATTACGTTTCTTCTTCTTTTTTCTGAACTATATCTTAAGAACACAAAAGGAGATACGATGTGTTATCATGTCGAAATAATCGAACGACGCGCGCTTTCGGCGCGATCGAACGAAGAATCGCGAATTCTTATGCGAGCAACACGAGAACGAGACGTTCCGATGTGCAGGAGAACGAGGATCCATTGGGAGAGAAAGGATATCTCGGTAGCGATTCTGGAAAAAGATCGACAAAGGGATAAACGAAAATTGTGGACCTGATCTATTTTTATAAAATATAGGGGAAAGTGTAAAGGAGAGAGAGAGAGAGGACAGAGGGGAGGGAATAGCAGAGATGGCTTAAACTTTGATGCTCATTAGAATTTTCCTAAGCGAGATCAACTCGTAATAAGTTAGGCGAAATATTAAGAAAACCGTTAAATAAAAATTCCTAAATCTTAATTAACGCGCTCACACAAGAAACGTACAAAAATTATAACGCATACGAAACGTCGGAAATGGCACGAATACAATAACCGATAATCAGTACGTCATTTCACACGGCTGCTTCGTAAACGAAATTCATATCAGATTTCTCGTGATATTTCGTGTATATTTTGGAATTTATCATCATTCGTATGCTGGATATCATTGAATTATTCGAGCGATTTCAACGATTGCTACATAGGTTGTATACACATACACGCGTGTATGTGTATAAAGTAAGTAAAGCACGTGAAGAGTATTTGTCCTTTGGTATATATATATGTTGAATACGATATATATATACGTATCTCGAAAGGGGCGAATATTCTCCGAAGAACTAACGGAAATGCGAGATGAAGGCCTGAGGAACAGTTAGTGGCGCGATGGTAAAGCTACACAACTTTTCTCGCTTCTTTTGTCTCTTCTTTCGTGTGACACGGTCGAGCGGAACGGGCAAAAGATAAACGAGGGTAATTCAAGCAACCAGGCATTTCGAGCGACACTCGTGCAAAATGCAAAAGAGTAGGAGAGAGGACCCCCCAATGTTCTGCTCTACTTTTCCGTCAGCCGCTGTATCTCGAGGTAAGCAAAAGAGACCCACACACAGAAAAGTATTCAGGCTCCTCCGTTGCGTTATAGTAGGCGAATCGAACTGCGTTGAGTGTAGGTGAGCCCGGAAAGCATGCCGGACCGGAGGCGACTCGGTGCCGCACAATGAGCTTCGAGGTGGCCTTGAGTCGGCGGTCAGGGTGACAAATTTGCATGCAACGACGCGGATATAAATCAGACGAGTATTGAACGATTGCGCAAGGACCCGGGCCAAAAGGTGAAACTGACCACATGACCGGCTGCAAATTTCTCGACGGACCGGTGTGAGATCGCGAAAACTGGTTCGTGCGAAAGACGCGCGCCGGCTGAGAGCCCAGGATATAAAAGAACCAGAGTTCTTTGAAGAGATCGGGGCCGGGTGTATCCGCATCTGATGGATAAGGAGACGGAAATCGGAGAAGATCTCGATTATGAGAGCCGCATTCTAGTGTACGAGCAAGGTGAAACTGTAGGAGGTAATGGAGGTGGTGGTGGTGGTTGGTTCCAATCTGAGATCGACTCAGCTGACGATCATGACACTCCGCTGTGTCCTTATAGCCTTGGTTGGTGTGGGAGAACTGTCGAACAACGCGACTGATTGCTTCCCTTTGCTACCATTACACGTCACATCTCCCGCTCGCGCTATGTAACCAATCGTCTGCGCGTTAACTTGAAAGCGCGTCCCTTCGGACGTTTGATTGTCGTCGGATTTTCGTCACATGTGGCCGCGCGTAAGTCCTAAATCTTAAACAACATGTACTATAAAACGCATGTAATGGTTTCATGTACGTCATAATAATCTCTTGCTGGTGCACGGAACGTCTCGAACGCGAACGTTACGACGATACTCGGCGCCGACACTCGGCGGACAGGATCACCGTGCCACCAAGTTGCTGAAAGCGCGCGTTCGATCTAGGTGACTCCCGTGCAACATACGTATCTCAGTACAACAAATCTTGGGATGATAAGGGAAAGTAACGACAACAGGGAATAACACATTATAAATGTTTAGTACAAAAAAAAGAAAAAGAGCAAAACATGAACTCCCGATATAGCGACAGTGGATCGACGGACCGTCGTCACTCCTCCCCGCTACTTTAACTGTCAGAGGAACTTGTATACCAAATACATTCATGCCAGACACATGTTTTCATCTCTCTTTCTCTCTCTCTCTCTCTCTCTCTCCCTCTCTCTCTTTCTCATATACACACGCACATACATACAACATTCGCTCATTCTCTCGCATCGTCGCTCACTTCTCCCGACGCGATACAACACATATACTCTGTGAAAGATGCACAGGGGTGCCGCGCACTTCTTTCTTTCCGACATAGCCTCTATTCATCTAACTATACACATCAAACTGTACCGCAACACGTTTGTTGAACGAAACACATTAACGGTTATTACAACGATTAACTAAATATGATTTCTCTGTACCGATGCGAAATTATGTACAACGCAAAAGCATTTTTGCGCACGACGGGCCGAACCTTCGGGAAAGTTCGCGTGTAAATCGTTTGTTCTTTTTTTCCTTCTTTTTTCTGTAACATCGAATCCATCATGATCATTTCTATGCAAATGTGCGTTACGGCATAGACGCTTAATTCCGTGTGACTGCACAAAATGTCCAATGAGAATAAAAACCATAGTTATTTTTATAGAATTATTTGTCATTTTATAAAAAAAAAATAACTATCAAAGAGTTAACCATCTTTGCTGTAACGCATATGTGCACACGCATATTTATTCCATATAAATACATATGCGTGCGTTATTATCATGGATTCGAGATTCCAACAGATGGATATGATGAGATACACTTCTTCGCCTGTCTCATTATCACGAGTCGCGCCTATCGGCTCGTACTGAGTCATCTGGACGTCCAAACACCGTTTCAGAGTCCAAGTAAACAGTCAACAGTAAATATGTCCCTGAATTTATGTTTGTCTCTCCCTTTAAATTACATATTTTCTATAGGATATACATCTATAGACTTGTCGCTTGGTATTCGTATCAATGTGCATATTTTCGCACGGTACGATAATATATATATATATAATCTATATGTAGTATATATATAATATGTATATATATATATATATATATTTATAAAAAGCATCTTAACAATAATGACTACGAATCGATATAGAGACCTACCGGTTGAATCAGTACGAGCCAATGCATGGCTGATCAGTTTGACTCGAGGTAGAAATTGGAGCGTATAGTTCGGTCTTTCACGCTTTAATGCTCACATTCGTCTTCATTAGCCAACAAGACTCGCGACAATGCCAGCCTCAAGCAGAAGGATACCATCCGACACCGAGGACAAGAGGGTTGTTTTCTCTACATACCAGTGAGAATCCCACTAGGATGCGAGATCGGCCTTGGATGTGCTGGCCGCGCTCACATTCTCACGACGATTGCATTTGCGGCGCAGTTGTCGTGGGAACAGATTACTCGTCGGTCTGACAGCGGAGACGTTGCGCGTTTCGTCGTCCTCTTGGACGACATCGCTGCTGGGACTGTTGTTGCGAGTGGTCGACGAGCTGCTGCCGCTGCTGGTGTTGTTGCAAGCCGAGACTAGCCTGCCAGTGGACATAGACAAATCCTCGGGCTCCGTTTGCTCAGGCAGATTGACTGGAATCCCGGACAGATCCAACGGAATCGGCGGAGCCTCGTCAACCGTCAAACTCGATGATTCCTCCTGGTCTCCTCCCTTGATTTTCTTGGAGCTGTGCATAATGCTCTCCATATCGTCTGATTGCGTCTCGGTTTCGGCATTATCTTCCAGATCTTCGCTTGCGTTCGATTTCGTGTCGGCGGCCTGTGACCGTGATTCGGCCTGCGACGGGTGGCCTGTGCCACATCTATGATGCATCAGGTGATGTCGCCTTCTGAATCGTACTTGGCAAGTATCACATTCGAACGGCTTCACGCCTCTGTGTATCAGTGCGTGCGCCTTCAGTTGATTCGAGTCGCTGAATTTGGACCCGCATACTTCGCAAGTATACGGACGCTCGCCCGTGTGTACCCGCAGATGACGGCGGAGATTCGCTACTTGAACGAACTGTCGGTCGCAGTGGTTGCAATGATAAGGTTTCTCGCCCGTGTGGAGTCGCATGTGTGTTTTTAGATGATGGTCCCGGGTGAATCTGCGCAGCAACAATAATAATGATGCAATGTAACACAATGCGAAAGTAATCTTTTGGTGATTGATCGTGAAAATTGGCGATTTGTCATTCGGAAAGTGTTTCAATAATTACGGTATCTTCAATGTTTCGAGTCTGTTTCTACGTTAAAACGAATAAAAAGTGGTAAAGATAGTAAAGTAATGATGATAATAATAACTTGACCGGGAGAGATCTTACCTCTTGTGACATTCCGAACACTCGAATGGCTTCTCGCCGGTATGCGTGCGCTCGTGATTCTGCAGCACATGCTTATAACCAAATGATCGCGCACATGTTCCACAAGTGAAGACCTTATCCTTGCTGTCCTTTCCCGCCTCAGGACTGATCGTAGGAACTGGGCTGGCCGAAGTCGCGGCCTCCAAAGGGGATGATGGTGCGATTTCTGTTTTCACTTTAGTTGATTTCCTCTTGGTAGACTGGTTCTTTTTGCCGGATCTGTCGTTTTCGCTCATGTTATTATTGTTGGTACTTTTGTTATTGTTGTTGCTGCTGCTCGTGATGGTGCTGGGTGGATTGTGCTGGGTGGACCGCGTACCCACACTCTGCGAATGCGGCGTCGATGGATGTTGGAGGGTGGAGGGTGGCGAAGACGATGGCTGCACCCAATTGGCGAAGAAATTGTGAGGATGATGATAGAGCGACGGATTGGTAGCTAACGATGCGTGCAGAGATACCGGTAAACCTGCAGCCATAAATGCTGCAGTCCGACTGGCAACAATTAGCTGCTGCTGGGTCAGCAAAGACAGACCAGTAGTCGCAGGAGAGCCAATCGGAGGGAATAATGTCTGTGACGCCTTCTTGTTGTTACTCAGAAGTTGTTTCTTGTCAGGGTCCGGCTTCATAGTGAGTGGCTGGCCACTTAGGAGACCTGCATCCAATAAAAGCACATTTTGAAGAAACGGTCCTTTCGCTTCGCCCCGCCACCGCTTCGCTTTCTCGAAGATTCCAAAAATCCATAAGATCCCATAAAAATACTCAACGCAATACTGCCCCATTGCAGTCGCAATAACGCGCTAAAATTATCGGCTAATCACGGAGGATGGTATATCGGAGGATCAAACGGATGTGTGAATTTTACGCGAATTCAAAGATTTCTCCTCGCACTTCCTTACCCTATCAGTCTTTTTCCGTCTGATCCTTTCTCATTCTCACTTTCTCTCTCTCTCTCTCTCTCTCTCTCTCTCTCTCTCTCTCTCTCTCTTCGTTTCCTCCCTCTCTTCTCTCTCTGTCTCTCTATTCCTCTCTTCCCTACCACTCCTCACGTACCCTCCCACACACGTCGCTCACACGTGAGGTTCACTGGATCCTCCTCCATTCACTCACACTCTCGTACGCGAGAGTTCATTCATAAGACTTGGCTATCCACCTACGCGCCTACGGCGTACCGCCTCTTCGACTTGAGGCCAACGACTTTATCGGCGTGCGAACCTCCGCGTTTATCAAAAAAAGATCGACTTTGCGTCGGAACCAACGTGGAGACAGCGGTCGTTAATGCGTAACGTTTTAAATATGCGTCTACGAAGTCTTGCATGAAAAAAGTCTCCACTGATACGATAAAGTTATGTGTTATCAAAGTAATCTAACGCTTACAGACGTGAGTGATAAACGCGTTTCATCTTAACAATATATGATTATAACTTAAGCTCAGTTTGACCTCCAGTTAACTTAACCTCCAGTTAACTTAACTGGCTGGTTATTCCATTAGACTTAACTCGCATTTGATATTAAGAAGAGTTAATTAACCAAGAATTAACCAATCATTATTAATCGGTAGTTAAAATTAAACGGATGTTGTGAAACTTGGCTTTTATATCTCTACGTTTAGCGGCTTGGGCGTTTTACTATTTTACGTTAGACATGCAAGTCAATTTGTAATTGAGCGAATATCGCGGGCAGTGTCACACGCATTGAAACACGGATTGCTACAAATTCTCTATCTCTTTTTCTCTGTAAAGATTGCGTTTCACCATTTAGAGCTCCTGTGCGACCTGAAGATATTCAGTGATTACAGTGAGAACACAATTTTTGGTATTTGCAGCTATGATTACGATTGTTACAAATTATGATCAAAAAAGAGAAGCGAAAAGAGAACCATTTTTTAAATTAAATTCTACTATAATGTTAGTAATAATAATCTTATATGCATGTTGCTACAACCATTTTTGCATCAGAACAATTAAAAAAGTGACAAAAAATGACTATAATTTCAGTTAGATCAATCATTTTCTTTCTTTCAGTGTACACGTGAACTTGAAATATCACAATATGCGTCTAAATGATCGCTGGAGCAAATTCAGTAAATTCGGAGGCGTCTTCAACGAGGTGGAATCGAACGTAAGAAGACAATGACCGATATCTGATTATCGCGGGTTAATTAACGGACTATTTAAAGAGAGGACATTGTCGTTAAATCAATAAAAGCGCGCACGACGTCTCTTCCTCCTTATTTTTTCCCCTTTCTTCTCTCCGCCCCAAAATTCCCTTAACGGCGGCCAAGATCCTTCCAGCTTACTATCGTCGTTTCTTGGCAACGCGACGCGACGCGACGCGGAGAGTACCGCCCTTGCCTGCGTCTACCCCGTAATTGGACGCAACCCTTGTAGTTCTACCTCGAGTCCTTTCTCGCGGCAGTTCCATCAGAAACTAGACCGCTTCAGTTTAAAGTGCAGTTAATGCCTAGCCACTCGAGAAGGCTAGACGTCATACTGTGAAGAGTTTGCAGATAATGTCGAGAGGTACCCGCAAACTAATACACCTAATGTTGGCTCACGGGAGCAGATAGACAATAAATTTTTCTGAACGACTAATAATATTCTGAATGATATTAACGATCAACTGATCGAGCGACAAAGTTTTCATCCGTTATCGCGAATCATAGAGAAATTTTGCTTTATAAAAGGAAGTTTCGCTGATATTATCATATCGCTTCGCGCTTGCTATGTAAATGTTATCGCGACTGCTGCAATGCGTGGCGAAATCGCGATTTGATCGCGGTCGATCGACGCGGTTCAAGAAAAGTGCTCGTAACCTGAGAAAAGCGCGTTTACGAAGAAGATACGGGAGAAGCGTGCCGTGCATCCCGAAGCAATCGCGGCGATTATTTTTAGATACGCGCATCGCACCGCGAGGTTCTCGCGGAACCTCGACGGATCTCATTTTCCCGACTGCTCCCCCTGCGTCCTCAGGCCGGCGATTTCGCTACTCTCTCTGGGACTTATCGATGTTTACAATGTGTCACAACGTACATGCGTTGTGTCGCCGCGAGCGCTTTTAGATTCTGGCGAAGAGCCAGTAGTCACGCTGCTCTTAAGAAACTACGAAATCGCTCTCTTCTCGCCTTCCGTTTCTCTCTCTCTCTCTCTCTCTCTCTCTCTCTCTTACACACATACTCACACTCTATACATACATCTCCCACTTCACTCTTTCGTTCCCTCCCTCTCGCTCTATCCCTCACGAATCTTCCTCAAAGCGCCGACGCACCGCTTACGTTTTCGCTTTCATTCGAGGCCAACATCCGAAAGATTATTGGACGCGAATAAGAAAAAGGAAAAAGAGAAGAAGGAGAAGAAGTCATCAATGAAGTTGGCTGATGTTAGAATTATACGCGTCCACGTCTCCTTTCTCCCATCTGTCAAAGGTAATGGTTAGAATGGCAGGAATGACGGAAAATCCGAGGCGAAGGCTGCTCACGAGCGAGATACGCTCTCTTAATCGTGTCAAGAATATACTTCGAGATTGAGTAGTAGCGTCGAAGAGGCGAAAGAGAAGGCTGAAAAAAAATAAAATGGAAAGAAAACAGAAAAGAAAAGTTACATTACCGCGAGATTTCGGTGCGCCACACGCGAAATACACAATGACCAGATCTTAACACGATGAAACAATTTGTATGAGGTCTTGCCGAGGTGACATGAGGTCAACCCTCGGTATGCTCCAACGTCAACCGTGCCTATGAGATCCAGCTGGATCGTACCTGCGTCAATCTGCGCGTCTTGCAGGTAAGATAGTGCCATTATGAGATCCGTGATTCCAACTTTCCTCACATTGACACTCCATACACTTCCCCCACCCCGGCACACGTAATCACTTCCGACGGGCGCGATTTCAAGGGACAGGTTCGAAGCAACGGGGCGGCACTACATTAATGGCGTACTCGAAATAAAAGTCGCGTCGATCGCCGCCTTCGACTGTTCTCTTTGCCGGCTGAAAACAAAAAACGACCCGCGCGAGGGTGATCCGCGCACTCGCTTTTGGCCGGCGAAGCGTAACGTCGAGAAATCGGGAGCGATCTCGCTCGGTGTGAGCTGCGCCGCGATTTTTCAAGTACTATCCTAATCTATAAACAACCGATTATTGCCGTGCTCCGAACAGAAGGATGATCGGCGCTACGAATCGACAATGCTTCTCTGGGCTGACCTAACCCAATACTAACTGACAGACAGTCCAGCCGCACGACGTAGTCAACAATCCCCACCCCTAAGACCCCCACTATGTCGATCTCGCCCTACCAGGTCTCGCGGTACTACCCTCTCGAATCACAACCCCGGATGCGCGGAGTCGTCCTAAACGCTGCTCGACGGCTTGCGAGCTGGCACGTGCAGAGGATGAAGTGAGATCGAGAAAGAGGCAGAGAGAGAAAAAGACAGAGCGGACGGCGGAGCAGGGCGAGAGGTGCGGCGGCGCGAGGAGGCCGCCGTGGGCGACAGAAAGAGATCGCAACAGAGCACGAAAGAGCAAGCGAAAGAGCGCGTAGAAAGAGCAAGCGCGACAGAGAACGAGGGAGGGGTGAGCCGAGACAGGGTGAACCTGCGACCGTGATCTTTAAGAGTAGGGATTGGCGCGTGTGGAGAGAGCACGCTTTTACCCCGAGGGGTTGTGAAGGAGGCCGTTGCTAGAAGGCGGACGATCGCCTGGACGAAAGGGGGGCGAGCGAAAGATGAGAAATGCAAAGAGTGTAGAAGACGAGGTCGCGACGTGATCTGCGGGATCTAAAAAACGGACGATCTGATCGCGCTTATTCTTGAAAATTGCGCCTGGCGGTGTGGGAATTAAAAGTCGAGTCGGTTTACGCTCGCCAGCAATTCGAGATTATTATTTATCACTTTCTCTCTCCTCCTCTCATTCTCTCTCCCCCCTCCCCTCTCTCTCTCTCTCTCTCTCTTTCAACCTCTTCCTTTCGTAACGTTTGTTTCGATTGTATTGCACCAGCTATCTCTCGCTCATCCTCGCAACCTTTCATTTCGCGATACAAATATGCGAACATGTACATTCGTTATTCAATGTTTGCTGAACTACCGCTTTTGCGATATTGACAGTTCTGCGCGCGCGGCAGCGTGTTTTTTGCAAAAGTTCGCTGCAGCTGTCAATATTTCAAAAGCGCTCGATACAAATTGCGCGGCGATACGTCGCGTCTGGAGTCTTGCACGAAGGTATCGTGTATCACATCGCGTGAAAGACGCGCAGATCAATGTAGAGAAAGAAACGTACATGAGAACTAATGAATATCATAAATAGGTTTATCTGTGTTTATCTGTATTTATCTCAATAATTATAACTTTATTACACAGAGAGAAAAGCTTCTTTGAATTCAGGATCCTTATTTGTTTGATTTCGATTTGTTTGACTCACAGAATCACGGAATGATGGAGTATTTGGAGGGAAAATCACAGGGAAAGAAGAACGCACACGATGAAATAATAAGACAAACCATCAGTGATGCAGAAAATGAAAAATCACGTTTCTTAAGATTATTTTTTAAATGAAATGAGAATATTCAGTGTAATAATTTCCTTATTTGGATTTCAAGCAATAAAATTATTTAGGAAGCTAAATAATTGTACTTACTGGTTAAAATATTAGTTTCTTTTGATC